AAGAGCGAGAGGTTTGCCTATAGCCAAGTGAGCAGCAGGGCTACAGATGGAGATTAGCAACTGCTCGCTAGCTCTCTCTCACAGTCGGTTCCACAGACGGAGGTCTTACACCAGTCACACACACTGTTCCCACCACTGCACACCCCATGATGTCTGCTTTACCCTTGTTAATTTTTCCCCGTGGACTTTGTTTGTTCATGAAGGAGTCATAAAGAATGTCTTCCTTGTTAATAAATATGTTCTAAGAACATATTGCCAACATTCACATTAAAGGGACAGTTCACCCAAAAATTCTGTCATTAATTACTCACCCTCATATCATTCCAAACCCGCAAGACCTTCGTTCATCTTCGAAACACAAATTTGAGATATTCTTGATGAAATCCAAGAGCTTTCTGACCCTCCATAGACAGCAATGGGACTGCCACATTCAAGGCCCAGAAAGATAGTAAGGACATCGTTAAAATGGTCCATGTGACATCAGCGGTTCAACCATAATTTTATGAAGCTATGAGAATATCTTTTGTGTGCAAAGAAAACAAAAATAATGACTTTATTCAACAATATCTTCTCTTTCGTGTCAGTCTTCAATCAAAAATATCTTAATTTGTGTTCCGAAAATGAACAAATGTCTTACAGGTTTGGAACAACATGAGGGTGAGTAATTATATTTACAGAATTTAAAAGTTATGAAAGCGTTCTCTGAGCATTCAGAACGTTCAGGTTTAATCTATAAATAAAATTTTTGCGCTAAGGTTTTGAGAACATTATTAAAGACCAGATAACTCTGAGAGAATGTTCTGTTAATATTAGCCAACTGGAAAGCCATTTGTTTGTGACTTTGAGGGAACCTTGCCAGAACTTTAGCCAGAGAACATTCCCTGTTAGCTGGGTTCACTTCATCTTTGACTGGTTAAATCCAGCAGTGTTTGTTTGAAACAAACAGGTCAAGAGTTTGTAAAATTCAAGAGTATTTAGGCCTTGAGACTATCACTGAGGCAAATGATGACTGGTTTACAATATAGCTAACTAGCTAAACTATCAGCTAACTTACTACTGAATCCAATGCAGCAGTCAAATCAACCTGGCCAGAATGTAAAATCTAAATATTAATGACATGTGACCACCTGGAACACGGTTTTAAATTCCTGGCTCGCTTTACATAATTTAACGGGGGAAAAAATCTGAATTTTAAAATTCAGAACAGAGATACAAAACAAATACTGTGGAGGATCAAATCCATTCTTCATTCATCCATTCAGGCCTAATTAGGCAAACAAGAGAGATCAAGAGAAAGGGAAGCAAGTGAATTAAAGAAGAGCAGTGGCTCCATTACAGGTAATGGACACAAATCAATCACTACTCTCAACATTTGCTAGCGGTCATGTTTATGCTCAAACAAAAGCAGGTTGTATATTCATTTAGATGAAATGCATGTCATGGAGAGATGAATAATGTAAACAGAATGAACCACATTCAAGGAAATCTGTGCACCCCTGGAAAGAGTCTTCAGGTTGCCATGACTATGTGTGTTTGCACGTCACAGGTCCAGAGAACAAAAGATTAATATTGATTGTCTTGGAAAAAAAAGTCTTAACCACGAGGGTATTACTAGAACAGCCGTACTTGGCAAAGAGATTACCGACCTCTTTAAAATGCTCCGTGTGGCCGATCATTTTAGTTGCTAGAGTCTTCGGTAGTAAGCAGAATGACTAAGAGATGATGCCAGGTGAATCCCAGCCTCTCATTGTCATAGATTGTTTCACTTTACTTTGTGCTCTGACAGTTTATCAAGCACCAGTGTGCAGTTAGACAGTCTGTCAGCCTCATGTTGTGTTATTACCTCTGACTGAAAGAAATGTGGAAAAATAGCATCAATAGAAATCCTTTCTTTGCAGTTCTACAGTGCTTTGGCCATAAAAGAGACAGATTCAAAAGGATTTTCTGGAAGTCCTTTTGTGTATAGTGTCTCCTATAGCCTGGTTACCATGTGAACAGCCTGATCAGGAAATTCATAGAGTTTTTCAAGAGGGGTCTTATATACTGTACACACTATTCAGACTGATGATACGAAATTAAATGAGCATATAATCAATTAAACCTTAAAGGAATGGTTCACCCAAATTTGACAATTTGCTGAAAATGTACTCACCCTCAGGTTATTCAAGATGTAAATGAGTTTGTTTCTTTATCAGAACAGATTTGGATAAATTTAACATTGCATCACTTTCTCACCAGTGGATCCTCTGCAGTGAATGGGTGCCGTCAGAATGAGCGGTCTAACAGTTTATAAAAACATCACAATAATCTATAAGTAATCCACATGACTGCAGTCCATCAGTTAACATCTTGTGACGTGAAAAGCTTTGTGTTTGTAATTAACCATTTTTATTTTAAACCCTTGCTTGCAGCTCTATCCATAATATTGCTTACATCATTGAAAAGGCAGTCTTGTCTGAATCAGGAGAGAAATATGCACAGATCAAGCACAGTTTATAAGCGAAAACGGTCCAAAACAGTTCTACACAAATATGTTGGTGGATTTTGATGTGAGAGGATAACAAGGGATGGACTTTTTCCACTGGAGAAAACGTTATTATGGACAGCACATTCCAGGGCCCAGTTTATGGCGGGGCCCCTCTCTGACCACTATAGTGGACAAAGGTTTGCTACATTTTGATTGGATCTTGGTGGACTAACATATGCAAACTGTCCAACGCCATCAGATAAAAGATGCCAGGACAACAGCCAGACACCTCTTAGAGGGCAAGAAGAAGACCTTTGGTACAAAGCCCTGGAAGGACAGGACTTCCTATTGGTCAAAATGCAGTTTCTGCCCTTCACCCACCAACAGACTGATTCCTCAGGTCTTGGCCTGTGACCGCCATAAAAATTCCTTAGGACCTCTGGATGCAGCAGCAGTGGGTGAAACAAAGAGATATCACAACGTTCCATCCAAATCCATTCATAACTATGTTCTCAAACCTTAAACTGATGCAAACTACAATACACACATCTTATACTTATTCAGAGAAATAAGTATTCTCAGTAACAGCGACGTGTAGTGCAACATCTTACACAAACTCAGCTGTTAATGGACAAATGAATACATGCATGACAGTTCAGTCTTTTTCCATCATGTTTGGACTTAATGTGTTCGTAACATTGCCAAAGGTATTCTGGTTGTGGTTGGTAAGTGAAAAATGCATTGGTAAAGCTTTAGTCACACTTTTCTAAATGTGTGTTTGGACTATGCAAATAAGTTCCACAGGAGGAAAGAAGGGTGGGCCACACCGTGTCCCCCCACTCTGATGGAAACAGCCAATCACAGCCTGAAAATGGAGAAGTGCCAGATTGCAATCTCCTCCTCATCAGAAAGAGATAAAGGTACCTTCTCAAAAGACACTACTTGTTCTGAGTCTGAGTACTGCAATGGAAAAGACGTTAACAGATACACTGTTCTGAGTCTGAGTCCTGTTACCAGGAAGACAGCAACAGAAACAACCCATTCTGAGTCCCCTGCCTGCAAGGGTGAGACAATAGCAGATCAACCTCCGTTCTGAGTCCTGTCAAGTAAAAAAGACTGCAACAGATCACTAACGTTCTGAACCTCTGGCCCGTGAGGGAAGAGATAATCTACGTTCAGACTCATTCAGAGTCTTCGTCCAGCGAGACAACAACAGATGCAGCACGTCCTGAGTCTCCATCCTAGAGAGACAAAGCGGATCGACCAAGTTCTGAGTCTCTAGCCCAGAGAGGCAGAAGACACACAGACATCTGCAACAAGGTTAAGCTCCAGCAAGCAAACCTTCACTCCATGTACCTTTGCTTGCGTGTTCCAGGCAAGGACCTTCTGCACCTACTCCAGGGCCACATCTGCGTGTTCCAGATTCTAGGACCCTTTGGTGCTCCAGGAGATCAGCACCCTCCAGCACTTCGTGTTTAAGGCTGTCAAAATGGATTCCTGCTCCTTTCCCCACTGCATTGTTACCAGCACAACCAGTGGATGAAGTCACCGCCATCGGACTGCTCATTCGACCACAGAGAACGTAAATATCACTTATCCAAACCTCTTCCAGAGACCTTGGCATTGTTAGATGTTATCAGTATATAATTTTTCTAATTTACATGAGATATTATATGGCTGATTGCAGTTTATAGCAAATCTTTCATGTATTTGTTTGATGCATTACAGGGTTTTCACCTTATTTCTTTCAGAGTAGCAACAGTTTAAACTTTCCAGATAACTTAGCTCTGACATTGCGAAACCCAAAATAATCACTTGCATTTTATGCATCTTATGCACTTTATTCCTATTTCATTTATGGTATTGATTTAGTAGTTGTTGATTACTCTTAGTCTATCTTTTGTTAATAAAATCTATTTTATTCCACTTGTGTCTTCCCTTTCCAGATAACTTAGCTCTGACATTGCGAAACCCAAAATAATCACTTGCATTTTATGCATCTTATGCACTTTATTCCTATTTCATTTATGGTATTGATTTAGTAGTTGTTGATTACTCTTAGTCTATCTTTTGTTAATAAAATCTATTTTATTACACTTGTGTCTTCCTTGTGTTGATGATAGAGAAAGAGGTTCTACAAGTTAGAGATCCCACCAATCTTTCTAATGTGATGTACTCATAACCACACCTTAAGTGACACGTGATCCAAATATCATAACGTCCTTGATGACGCGAGCATCCATCACTACAGTATTTCGCCTCCCTAGGTTGGCAAAAGCAAAATTCACTACAAAATATTCATACATGTCATGTGTATAACTACAGTTGCAGTGCAGATGCACCGGCAACTTGCTCTTGAGGGTTCACAGACATTGCAATATGGTGGACGGCTTATGCCGCTAATAGTGCATCTAGCTATACATATCTATGGGGAAAAATCTGGAATCGCTTGTTCTGAGAGACTTTATGATTTATTGGGATTATAAAAAATTGAATGGGTGGATTTTTACCCGGTTGTTTTCACACACTGCAGCCACACAACTGTGTTCAAACACCTTATAAGAGTGATTTGTGCATAATAGGTCCCCTATAAGAAGCACAGATGTCAAAAGGTCATGATCTTTAATTTGGTTCTTTTAAATTAAATATGTACATCTCAGAGGGCCAAAACATGAATGAAATTAATGTCTATTTCACAAACAAACAGTTTTTGTTTCACTTTACACATACGCATTGCTTGGGAAAGTGGTGCATGAGAGGCACAGCAGCATTTCATGTCCTTAAGTGCATTAAATATATCCAAAACTGTGAAATGACCTTAAAGTATGGTTCCACATTTCCGGAATATTCTGCACATCCTCTACAAGTGTTAAAGCCCTTCCTATAGATTTCTCGTAGTCGGGCTTCCCAGAGGCACACTTAACATGCCAGAGTGTGTAACAAACACTCCAATCAACACTACTGAAAAGTGAGAGCTCTCACCCTATTTTTTCTTATCCTCTTCTCAGCCTCACATTTGTCAATCATTACCAAACAATGATTATCACTATCTCTCAGCCATCACACATCTGCTTTAAACCATCCTGTGCTGATGAGGTATAAATGGGGCTGAGAGTGAAGGGTTTACTGTTTGTTAGGACTACAGTGGTTCTCAACCAGTGGTTCTCAGTAAACTGCAAAATGTCTCAACATATTTAAAATAGTTTAATTTAACTATTTAAATGTATTATTTAGCAAATTATTAAGGTTATATATATATATATATATATAAATATTTTTTTTGCGCATATTTATTACACTCTTAGAAAATAAAGGTTCTTTAGTGGCATCAGTGGTTCTGTGAAGAAACTAACATTCATGGAAACTTTACATTGCACTTAAGGTGTTCTTCACACTAAGAAAAAACATTCTTTTAAGAACTGTTCACTTAAATGTTCTTTGTGGAACCAAAAATGGCTTTTGTATGGTATTGTTGTGAAAACCCTCCCGTTGGAACCTTTATTTTTAAAAGTATGTTCTAGATTAAAAAAATGGAAATTTACACTACACCACATTAAATTAACAATTGTATAACACTGAAATTAATAATTATCCCCCTAGTTCCTTTAAATAAAAAGGTTTAAAAACATGCATGTTTTTGTTGTCATTTCAGCACAAGAAAAAATGACAATTGTGTGGGTTGGGGGGGGGCATGAAATACTGACTTTTGGGGCCTTGGAATTACAAAAATTGAGAACCACTGTTCTAATAAACACAACTAACAACATCCCAGATCTGATACAGGACACACAAGTAAAATGGCATTGTTCAGTAAAAAGCTTTGTCAGGGCAGAGTGTCTGTTCATAGTGATTGATGCTGGGAGGCATTTTGCTAATAATGTTCATAATAAATACAACAAAGTTACACATCGCAAATGTTATTTCAATGCTGATGATGTGAGTTGATGAAAATAGGCTGGGTACAGTTCATTTGTTTTTGGGCTGTGCTGCTATATAAAGAGCTACGAGACAGTAGAGAGCTCCCCCGACTGTCAGTGCCATAGTGGTCCTGTACAAGAGTCTGTCTGAAACACCTCGTTTCAGATGAACAGGAATCTCTTCGGAGGCCTGGATGGAAAAAAAGAGGAAAAAACAAGTTGAGGAGAAAAGAGAGGGAAGAATTATAATGTATGCTTCATATTCATTGTTTATTCAAATTCATTAGTTCACCCAAAATTGAAAATTCTGTCATTATTTACTCACCCTCGTGACATTCCAAACTTGCGTGACTTATTTTCTTCTGCACAACACAAAAGATTATATTCTGAAGAATGTTGGTAACCAAAACTTACCTACGCTTTAATTCCCTTGTATTTTTAATCTACACACCAGAAGTCAATGGGAACTGAAACTGTTTGGTTACTAACATTCTTCAAAGTATCTTCTTTTATGTTCAATAGAAGAAAATAAGTCATATAGGTTTGGAATGATCATCTAAGGATGAGTAAATGATGACAATTTTCATTTATATCCCTTTAACTAAGCTGCATAGCTTAATACATCATATACACACCTGAAATATCCTCTGGAGATCTGGAACCTTGTTGGCACCCATATACTCCACTGGAGCATTTGACTCAGACACCAGTTTAGTTGGGGTGGCAAAGAAGATGGTAGGGGATTCAGACGGTATATTTGACCTCAAGCCCTGAAGAAAGTTTACAAGCAAGTTAACCTGATATTTATTTTTGTTCACTATGACTACATAATGTTTTTACTCAAAGCACCATCTATCACAGTGGTTTTCAACCTTTTTGACCCCATGGTCCCCTACTGACCACAAAAATATTAAATATCAATATTTGTGTAAAATATTTTTATCATCAATTTCTACCAGACATATTAGAGCTAGAAAATAAATAATCATGATACATGTGGCTTTAATATTTGATAAATTTACATGACTCTTCCAGGTTTAGAAATCACACTTTTTTAATTAACATTTTAATTAAAAACATTTTAAGTCACCTTGAGGCCCTATTGAAGTTTGCTGAGGTCCCCATAGGGGGCTCTGGCCCCCTTGTTAACACTGATTTATCGGCTATTGTCCCTAACTATTACCTTTTGCTGTGAAATCGGTTTAGGACTGTACAACCAATGCTGAATTTAGAAGTACTAAAACTTAGTGACGGACTGTTTAAACAACGGTCCTATGAACAATCATGCACATCTATATAATTAAATGTAGCTCAACTATGTAACTGTATCCACTAATTAGAGATTTTGGTGTGGACAGTAAACTCTCCGCTTTTGATTATTAATCGCCCCATATTTAGCCTGCTTAATCATATCGGCTAATATAGTGCTAGAGAAATGTATTTTATATATCTAACGACTGTTTAAAACCCCTCTATGGGTCACATGAAGCAGGCGGCAGATCAAGGTCACTGAATTAACGTTAGCGTTTTAGAAACGGAATCGCGCGCACATACCTGCGGGCTGTAGG